GGACACCTTTCGGTGAGTCAAACATGAAAGGAACCTTCCACCCTGTGAAGTGAGGCCTTCCTAGCCAGCTCTGCTTTTTATTTTCACAGAAATGTGTTTTTGATGCTGATTTACAGCTTGGTGTTTTTTTTTTTTTTTTTTTTTTTGGTTTTTCGAGACAGGGTTTCTCTGTGGCTTTGGAGCCTGTCCTGGAACTAGCTCTGTAGACCAGCCTGGTCTCGAACTCACAGAGATCCGCCTGCCTCTGCCTCCCGAGTGCTGGGATTAAAGGCATGCGCCACCACCGCCCGGCTACAGCTTGGTGTTTTATCCTAAATAAATTATACATACCAATTTAACATTTTTAACTGTTAATTATTAATATGACAAATATATAAACACGATCTCATCATGTACGGACTGTGTAAACAAAAGCCCCTCTGGGGACGTCAATAATACTGACGAGGACGAGGCCCTGAAAACAGCATGATTGCTGCTTGAGGTTGGGATGCAGCTGGACCTTTCCTTCACACCCTCCAAGGCGGTTTCTTTACCTCCCTGTGAAAGCCTTCAATGGCACAGCAACCTTCTCTCCCCATGGTAGCCTCTTTTCCAGACTTGTGGAGCTATGATACGGAGGCTTTGGTATGAGAAAGACTGGGATGTACAAGCAATTCTACGCCTCTGATTCGCATTCCCCTGGTGGCCATGGATATTAAATACCTTTTTACATGTGTGTAGACTGCTTCTGCATTTTCTCTGAATAAACATCTACTTCAAACTCTTGGCTCATTTTAAAAATATGTTTATCATATTATCATTGAGTTGTGTTCTTTATATATTGTAGCTATAAGTCCCTTATCAGATATATGATTGCCAAAATACCATGTCCTATTTGGAGTTGCCTTGCGGCTGTCCTTTGAAGCACGAAACTTAAGACTTTTGAAATCCATTTCGTCTATTGTATCCCTCTCTTCACTTGTAGGTGCCAAACCATTACACAGCGCATATTTACAGCTACACTTTCTTCTAAACGTTCAGTTTTAGCTTTTAGAGACAGGGTCGTAATTTGTTCCGAGGTCACTTTTGCGTCTGAGGAAGGCCCTGCTTCATGTTCTCACGTGTGGATCGCTTCTGTGCCAGGATTGTTTGTAAAGACATCATCATCCCCGTGCTTCAGAAGCCTCGCTTCTCACCTAGGCTTTACAAAACCACCCTTTAAGATGTGAAGGGAGTTTAATGAGATGACCCAGGGAGAAGCAGCCCATGGGACCCCTGGTGTGAAGTCCTAAGTGCCAATAACTGAACGAATGAGCCCCTAAACGCCAGCCACCATCGCTACTCTCTGGCCTGAGCGTCCCACTCCTGAAGAAGCTCATGAGGTTCAAGGCCTCATTCACTTATCACACAGTCATGGCTGTCCTCAAGACACCAGCCCACAGCCCCTCTCCTGCACACCCCTTTCTTGTCCCATTGTCCACCCGCCCCAACTCTACCTTGACTGGAAGTATTAGATGCTTTGGCCTTGGCTACTTGATTAATTAACTGTGAACCTACTCAAATTCTTTGTCTGTCACTGGACTGAAAAAGCATGAATGAGACGTCCATCAATGAAAAGGTCTCTGATTTACACATGGCAAAGTGACACCACTAGGGATAAAAAGGTTGACCTGGGTCACCCTTGCATGTGCTGTCCAAGATGGCTGTTTCCATCCTCGGCTCCCCTGCCCTCCCAGAGAGATCCTTTGAAGTTCTGTGTCCCTCCTCCGTGGCGTTGGCAACACCTCCAGATTTAGTTTCGCTCTGAATTTCATTTGCTGCCTCTTCCTGATCTCTGAGGCAGGTGGTAGGCAGGAGGGGGCCTGGCTGAAAACCAGGTCTTCCCGATGCCTGACTTCAGGCAAAGAGGACATGAAAAGGAGGAGGAGCCAAGAGACCTGGGGTTGAAGCTGCAGAGAAAGTTCTGTTCCCCCCTATTGAGGTCAGTGAACAGTAACCTCCTGGTGCTGAAGTCTCAAAGACCGGGATCAGTTTCCTGCCTTTGAAACCCCTGGAGCTCTGGACACTGGAGGGGACAATACTTGGGTGATGTGTCCTAGGGACTTCAGCCTCTTGGGCGAGCAGAGGGAATTGTGGAGGGGAGAAGAGTTGGGGGCTAAGCATTGGTCAAGTCCTGTTGGGACTGGTGGGGAAATGAGCAACAGCAGAGATGGTTGATCAACTACTTGCTCATTCATTCATTCATTCATTCACTCTGTCTTTATTATCTGCCATGAGCTAGGCATCATTCCAGGCATGAGAACAATGCAGGGGACTATAAAGAAGGCAGTACCTGATCCCCTGGACATTAGATACTAACAAGAGATGTCTGGGAATGCATGGACAATCTTGCACTAGCTAACACAACAGCTGGACATAAATGTTCCCAGAAAGACCTGGGCTGGGAGGAATGGTCTTTCTCATAGTGTAGTTGGATGAGGAAGGCTATGCCCCTCCCACATTCAGTGACAACCCTTTGGCCTCTGCAGCCACTGGGACAGTTGGCATGCTTCCATGAAGGGCATCTCATGCTGCATGGGACAGCTCACAAGGACAATGACTTTTACTTCTGTTTGCTGCTGTTCTCTAGGCCAGAAGAGTTCTTCCCAAAGGCTGGGGGAAGGCCCATGCTCGACGCTCCAAAGCAGGGGCATTTCTAGGGTTCTGTGAACCTGGAAGAGGTGACTGACTTAGTCACAGCTTAGAGTCCTGAGTGAAAAGGGGACCCAGGGACTAGATAGCAAGACTGGTGGATGGAAGGAGGGCCTTTACAGGTTTTTTTTTTTTTGTCAGTGTGAGGTAGACAGCCATAGGAGGGCTTGGCAGGCGAGTAATATAATCTGAGAGGTGCAGTGACAGATGTCTTTGGGCTAGACAAAGAAGGACACCAGTCCAGTGAGCAGGTTACTGCCGGAATCCAGGGACGAGAGTATTCGGTTCAGTGCACAGACAGAGAAGGTCACAGGGATGAGAAAAGTACAGAGATCTGTCAGTGTAAACACAGCACTGAGCTCAGGGATGGGATGACGGGTGACGGAGCTGGAGGGACAAGGGGGAGTATTCCTGCATCAAGGACTTGCTGACGTCAAGGTTTATGTGTGGCCCCACTCTGCCAGATTCAGATGTTTCAACGAAATATTTTTGCACCATGCCTTTCTTCCCTCCCTTGGTACAGATGACCTCAACAAGCCTTGTTCCAGGCCCGGCTCTGTGGGTGGCCACATAATAGGAATGAGCAATTCAGTCTCGCTCTGCCAGGGATGAAGGTGGTGTCTCCAAAGTGCAGCATGCCATATTGGGCATGTTGAGGACGCAGGGAAGGAAAAACCCTCATTGAGAAGACATCTAGGGAGACCAGGGTCCACATTTCTAGAGTTTAGAGGGATGGGGGAGATTCCATTACTGTTCTACTGGAACGGGTCATTATTGTACAGAAGCCTCAAATGGGGCTGATGAACACGTGAGTTCGCCTCTTACCTGGCTCAGCTGCACTCGGTTTTCTTATCTTAAATGTGGGGCCGTGAAAACTGACTCACAGGGCAATGCGAGTTAAGTGCCATGTGTGAATCGAGTCTCTGTATGTGTGATCTCATTTTGTCCTTACAGACAAAAGCTAAAGCTTTCGGAGGCTCTTGGAGAGCCATCTGTCCAAGGCAGAACATTTGCTGTCCTGTGCAGTTATATATGCTCCAGCCACCTCTGGTTTTGTCATTCCCGGGACCATGACAACTGTTCCATATGTCTTTGCTGATTAGCCACATGGATGTTTCAAACAGAGGTTACGCAACACCCAAACCACAGCATTCTGTATTCTGGCAGTCTGTGCACAATATGGCGACTGCCTCCAAGTCTCCCGATTGCTGGACCGTGAGATGGAAATAACTTTCTAATCTAGGGAAGAGGGTTACGGCTCGGCTCGCTCATTCATCTCCTTCCCACTGACCCCAGGACCTTGGATGTCAAGCAGAGTCTGAGATACCCAGTAAGCTGGGTATGTCACTTCTGATCCAAAGTACAGCCAACATCTTCCAACTGTGTGCACTAGAGCAGGGCCCAAGGGAGCTATATGTTCCAGGGCTCTCTACAGACAGCATTGGCCTTTATTGTGAGTAAGAACTCAGTCTGTTTATCCACTGGGATTCTGGAGCGGATTCATTATGGCATCCGATAGAGTCTATATGTTGCCTTATGGGACTGCTCAGAGAATAAGAATCCAAACTTAGTATAAGTGGGTATGTAATATATCTCCAGTGAAGAGCTTACTCCCCTGCCCCCATTTCCTCCTCTGCAGTCTTCTTCACTGGGCTCCGTTTCCATGTACGAAGCTGCCCGACTGTGGGCCACACTCCCCCAGCTTGCCACCTGCCATCACGCCGCTTTCCCCATCCAGCCCAACTTTATCATCGCGGCGCGGCATTTTCTACCCATTGTGTGTGGCCGTGCTGCGTGGCAACATGAAGAGAACATTCCGGAGAGCCTCTTAGACCCCTGCTGACAGACTCCCCTCCCTGTTTCCCTCTCTTGCTCAACCACGCCTCTGTCTTCACCTCGCTGTAGAACTTGCACCCTGGTCTACTGGACGTGAGAATAAATTCCAGCTCACCATAGCTTTAGTTGTTCTGGGCCGGCCTGACCGGTACCTACTCGCTGCCAGCAGCATCATCACGTTCCTGTTGGATGCCCAACCCCACAACGGCCCTTTTCACCACGCTGTAGGGCTTGCAGTGTGAAATATGAAGGTTCCCTGAAGCCCAGCCTAGCAGTAGTTCTACCACCTCCTCGCTGGGCAAATACACCAGGAACTACAGTTCCCAACAGTCTTTGTTCTTGTCCTCTTATTAAGACAGGCACTTCAACTCCCAGCAGCCTTTGCCTCTTGTCCTCTTCTTAAGTTCACTGCATTTCCCGATTCTAAAATGCATTTCTCACTAAACCTCAGACTAGCAACTGATGACAGAAAATTAGAGATGGCAGGGACTGACCTGGCTCCATGTCAGCACTTTGGGAAGAGTTGGTGTCCGCAGGCCCTGCAGCCCCCTCTCCAAGGCCATCGGATCCCGGAGGACAGGGCAATGTGCTTTCTGTTGAGGAAGAGAAGAGAGTAGATTAGGGGACAGCATGACTGGTCCCCAGCTTTCTCACAGTCCCCTCCCCAGCACCCTTTATGAACATGGGGTTTGTTCTGGTTCCATGGCCACGAAGCAAAGCAAGCGGAGTTCCAAACCCCGAGGACCTTGAATGAAATGCCATCTTCATAGCCTTGCCATGGCGCTCAGGAGAGCCATCCCCCGTACTGCACTTCTTTTTCTGTGAGTGTGCTAACATTGTCTTCCAGTCATTTCCTGCATGGATGTCTTCCTATACACTCAACCCACCAGGACAGGGGCTAAATAGCGAGGCTCTGCAACCCAGGTGCCAGTGTAGGGCTTGAAGCCCAAGAGCAACAGCAACTGCCTGGTAGACGGAGATGATTGATCCTGTCTGTGATGGGCGGAAGGCACACGGCATGGGGCTGCAGTCTTGGGGCAGTCCCAGTGGTGGCATGGGCAGGAAAATAAGGGAAGCCCCTTGGCTCTCAGGAACTTGACATCTGGCTTAGGAAGTGGATCTTCTTGGCTGGGATGAACCAGAAAGGGTCTCAGAGTCACTTGGGCAGGGGCTGTCCCATGAAAGAACTCTGCACTGGCCCTCTTGCTATGACAACCTCTGTCAAATCATGTTTCTTTCTCGGCCTCAGTTTCTTCTTTGGAAAGCAGAAAGCTCTGACCTGGGCAACAATGAGAACTTCTTTTTGGCCTAGAATTCAAAAGCTATGAGTCTGCTTAATCAGTACCACTAGTGTCTTTACCCAATAAATGTCACATGAATGTAAGAACTTCCATCCCATTGGAAAGAAAGGTAGGGAGAGGCTTTACGTCATTTGCCTTTGGTGATCGCAACAAAAGGAACTGGAATCTGAACACAGATTCTCAAAAGTTGCAGGTCCGTGCAACATAACAGATACCTCCAGATGTCCTCTGCATAAAGATCCTGCAGGCAAAGGCACTTAACGTATCTGAGTTTTGTTCTCAAGCCATTATTTGAGAAGTTCCCTGAATACATATTTGCCAAATATACTTAGGAACCCTGCTAAGAAGTCATTATTGTCTCTTATAAGGTGAGGAATTACTGGTAATTCCCATTAAAAACAAAAATCCTGTAAGTGTGAAAATTTGCCAACTCTCCCAGTGTCTCCGATATTTCTTTCCTGTGAATTCTAATTATTCCAAACAGAGACTAGCTAGCAGCCAGGAGCATTTCCAGACTCTGCCCAAATGCAGGGCCTCTCACCTACTCCCCAGGGTCAAGCTCTACCGACCTCATGAACCAAAGAGTCCGGAGAAAAACTGAAAACACTCTTCTAAGTCAAAATATAAGGCTGAGGAGATGGCCCAGCCCAAGACCTAAGTTTGGATCTGCAGAATCTATACACAAAACCAGGCCTGGTAGTATGCATCTGTAATCCTAGCAGCTGTGGGAAGGGAGGCAGGCAGGGAAATCCCAGGAAACAGACTGGTAACTAGCCTAGCCTCAGAAGTTCTAGTCGAGAGAGTGAGAGAAAGAGAGAGAGAGAAAGAGAGAGAGAGAGAGAGAGAGAGAGAGAGAGAGAGAATGAGAGAGAGAGAGAGAGAGAGAGAGAGAGAGAGAGACCCTGACTCAAATATATGGAAAGCAGTTGAGAAGCAACACTTAAGGCTGACCACCTGCACACATATGAACACCATCATACAAACACACACACATATACCAATGAGGATAAAAGCTAATATACTAAGTCAGGGTATGAGTCTCATTCTATGCCCCTCAATTGACTCTGGGACTTTGTCATTGCTTTCTATTGCTGTGACAGCCACAATGACCAAAAGCAACGTGGGGAAGAAAAGATTTATTCCATCCTAGGGCTTACAGTCTAACACTGAGGGAAGCCAAGGCACAAACTCAGGCCTGGAACCTAGACGCATGAACTGAAGCAGAAGCCATCGAGGCTTGCTCAGCCTGCTTTCTGATCCAGCCCAGGGACAGCACTGCTCACAGTGGGACAGACACTCCTACATCAACCGCTCATACAGACATCGCTCCGCAGACAGGCTCCTAAGCTGATCTGATGGCGGCAGGTCCTCAACTGCGGTTCCCTCTTCCTGGATGACTCTAACCAGCCTGCAAAGATTTAATTCCTATTTACACGACTTTATTCATGAGAATGTCATCCCCTGAGGCTTCAAAGAGAGCAGGAACCTGCCTTGTTCCGCTCCACCCATGGGTGAGATAAAGCATGCCTGGTGTCTGTGTCTGGACTTATCCCAGAAGATCTGTGGCTTTTAAGATCTACATCTGCTGGGCTTGTGCCCAACGATCCTGTGGGGTCCTAGGCATTTCCACTGATCTGGGTGGACAATATGTGACTGGACCCTTGTCTGGGTTTTAAGATTCCGCCGTAACCCACACAAGCTACAGGTGAGAGCTGTGCACCCGGACTGCTCACCTGGAGGAAGAAGATGCCATGTCTGCCCCTTTCCTGCCTCTGTTACGACTGAGGCCTCTGGATGAATCACCTCATCTGCGACTTCCTTTCCAGTTCTCAGCCCCACATTCCTCCTCTTTCACACAGCCTCCAGGAAGCATTATAATAATGACTGCACATAAAACCAAAATATTCACTGTGTCCTTGTTTGCTTTCTATGGCTATGGTAAGTGCCATGACCAAAAGCAACTTGGGGAGGAGAGGGTTTGTTTCCATTTACAGGTTCTTGTCTGTCATGAAGGAAACCAGAGCAGGAAGGCAACCTGGAGGCAGGAAATGAGGCAGAGACTAAGGAGCTAAGGAGGTCTGGTTACTGGATTACTCCTCGTGATCTGTTCATCTTGTATCAAAAAAAAAAAAAAACAAAAAAACAAAAAACAACAACAACAAAAAAAAACAAACCAAAAAACCAAAACCTCAGGATCACTTCCTATAGGTGGAACTGCCCACGGTGATGTGCTGATCTGCACCTTCTTACATCAATCAATAATCAAAATTCTACCCCACAGACTTGCCTTGAAGCCAGTCTTAGGGACGCATTTTCTCAGTAAGATTCTCTCTTCCCAGATATGTCAGGCTTGTATGCAGTTGACAAAAGCAACCAGCACATACGGGTGGCTGAAAAAGTTCTAACATTCCACTGAAGAGAAGACTAGTAAGGAAAGGATGCCTTCATTCATTCATTCATTCATCCTTCACTTATTCATATGATGAGTCTGATGCTGGGTGGATACAGTGAGGACAAAATCCTGACTTTACAGGCACGTTACGGGCAAAGAAAATAAGGTTTGGCCACAAAATCTAGGATGTCCCTGCAGTTTCCTAGGAGGTAGGGATAAACCCTAGGCAAAGGCAAGATGGAGGGGTCTTCTCGGCTGAGGAAGTTCAGTCTTGTCCCAGGGATACAGAGTAGGGATTGAGAGGGGTTCTCTGAGAAACGGAGCAAAAGTACAGGAGGAGAAAAAATGGCAAACACGTGAACTTATCTCACAGGGTGGCTATGTACAGGATAACACATACTACAAGCCAGGGCACAAGAGTGTCAGCGTGCAGGGTCCCGAAGGCCAAGTCAGATTGCAAGTGTTGCTTAGCAAAAGGAAGGCAAGGAGAGCTTTTAAGAAGAGGTGTGGTTTTACTGGAGATCTTCTCTAGACAGGTGAAGAGTCTGAAGAGGAGGCAACCAGGGCAGGAAGCTCCTGGCTATAGGCTAGGCACTTGGCTGGCTGTAGGTATTTTGATCTCCTTGATCCTTATAAATAATTGCAGGAGGCAAGCATTATCCTTTCTGACTTGCTGACAAGGAAGGGAAGCTATGCGGGCCCTAGACTGCTTGCCCCTAATCCTCAGCCAGGAACCAGTGGAGACACGCTAGCTCGCAACCCTGTCTATTCCCTTACAAATGTGCTTAGAAGCACGTAGGATTCTGTACCGAGCGTGTCTACATAATACACCTGCTTCTGCTTGCGCGTCACACCCTGTATACCCCCAGGATGTTTATGGCTCCGTCACCTCCTGGGCCATCCTGACAGAGAGTCCATGGCTTCTGTTAGTTAGTGTCTCCCCTAAAGGACCACAGACTGAGGAGGTGAAATGCTCCATGGTCCCTGGGAGGGTGCCATTCTTCACAAAGTGGGAGGGGACCCACCCTCCTCTCAGCCAAGCAGTGCTCACTCTCGTCCTGCATTTTCACCCAAAGCTGAGATCACTGGAGCAGCAGGCTCCAAAACTCCACGTACTGTTTGTTGTGCGCACAGAGACCCGGGTGTGCATCAGAATACGTGAGGGCGCCAGGGCGTCTTTGCCCATGGAGGAGATCACTATTTTAGCTCAAAGCAATGGATCTCTCTGTTGTTGGTCTAAAACTTCGGAACTATGAGACAAAGTGAGTCTCTTTCTCCTTACTGTCCTTCTTGGGTATTTCTGTCAGAGGGACATTGAGTTTAGCAGATGCTCCAACTGCATGAAGAGTCCTCCAGGCAGCCTTCCCTGAATAGGGAGCTCATCTCTGAGCCCGCCTAGAGCACCACTAGCTCCCTGGCTTGAGGCCAATCTCCTGCCTTGTTATGGTTTCTCATTAAAGGAGATAAAAGCAATGAACGGCACAGAATAACCACCGGGCCCTTAGCACACCTATGGTAGCATGTGGTGAAATCATTCCTTCTGTTTATTTCTTTATTTTGTTTTTAAAGAAAGTCTATTGCCGAGACTGGCCTCGCCTTAGCCCATGACAATCCTCCTGCCTCGGGCACCAGTGTGTGCTTCTTGTCTTTTAGAACACAATGCTCTGAGCATGCTAGCTCCTCAGGGAAGAAGCCAGAGTGGGGAATGTTAATTATCAGTCAGACAGGATCTAGAATGACCTAGGAGACAATTCCTTAGGCATGTAGGGAACTTCTATACTGAATTAATTCATGTAGGAAAACCCATCTAAATTGTGGGCAGTGCCATGCCATGGGCTGGGGTCCCAGACTAAATACAAGGGAGAAAACAAGTTGAGCGCCAGCCTTCACCTCTCCCCTT